ATAAAAATTCATTGATAGTTATCTGAAATTTCGGAATGATCTACATTTTTGATGAGTATAGATGACCTGCACCATAACAATAATAATTTATTCTTCTAATAAAAATTTTACATAATTTTTCACCAAATTATACTAATTATACTTAATGATTATTACTATAGGATAAAATACACAATTATTGCTGATTACAATTAGGGTCTTCCTTTATTATTATAATAAGAACTAGCAAACTATGCTTCGCGTCACAAACTATATGTCTTGTGTCACGAATTATGCTTTGAATCACGAATTATTATTATGCCCTGCGTCATGAATTATTGCTTCAGAAGACCCTAGATTTCATATGATTATTATTTGGGGCGTTGATTAAATGCCAAGGTTTTCTTTATTTACCATTCAACAAAAATTTATTAATTATAATTTGTTGTACTAATTATAATAAAAAAACATATGTTAAATTAAAAATAGCAAACATACAGTATATTTTACATTTAATTGTTCATTTTCTTTTATAGTTATCCAGTGAGTTTAGCTATTGCAGAAGGAATGTTATTGTTGACTGTTTGGGTCATGTGAGTTTATAGTTAATGTAAAAAATTACATGATGATATATAGATTGATTATTTTGTGCGGGGGATAGGAATCAGATCAACATTATGAGGTGGGTGCGAGCTAGCTTAGTCTAATGCCTATATTAATAAAACCGTATCATGATTAATATATTCCTCAAAATTAATAACAAAGGTTTTACCTGACGTGACATTTTTGATATTAAGGAATTTCTGCACGTTCGAAATGAAAATAGTGAGATACCCGCATCTTTTACTAGAACATTTTCACTTCATTATGGAATCAACACCAGAAGTACCTGTAGTATTAGAAACGTGCTGATTCCTTAGAATCATTTCTAAACTTAGATAATCCCTTTGTTCAGTATACACAGCCTTTTCTGCAAACCCAAATTACCCCTGATAATTATACATATATACTTATGCAACAACATGCTCAACTAGAATGACGCCAGGACAGTGACCGGCATGCCAAACAGCACCCATAAAACGACTATCAAGAATCGTCCTCGTCACTGGGCATTCAGATAGTGCACGCACACCTCTGTCATCTAAACTTGCATCAACAAAGAAGTCACCTCCAGTCGAAGGGACAAGGCGATGTCTCAACAAGGTGAATATGTTGCCTTGTGGAAGACGCACAAAAATCCGGCATATGTCATAGCATACCCATGGGCAAAGGAAGACCTTGCTTGAATTTTTGGCATTACATTGCATCAACGCTGATGCATGTTCTTCCACACAGTTAAAAAAAGTTGCTCTAAAAAGTTAATACATTTAATTAACCATGCTTTATTAGTCTCACAAAAACAATATTTGCATTATTTTAACCATAGATTATTCTCTCACCTCCTTATTCTCTGTTTTTGTGATGCTAAATTTTGGTTTTCGTGTCGATTTTTTTTTGCCAGATTCCTACAATCTCCCAATTGTTTCTCTGATATTCCAGTTTGTTTGTTTTTCAAGATCCTGTAGTTGTTTCATTTACATTAGGCAACTAGAATTTTTTGATGTTGAATTTTCTACCTGTTTTTTTTTTCAATATGGCCGCGTAACAATTCTTTCTGATCGTACACCGCCAGATCTTACAAGAATATTTCATAATTAATATATCATAAAAAAGTGGAATAAGATAATAATCTTTAAATCTAATTAATTATATATTTTGGTTGATAAAAAAACAAACTTAGCTTTTTTGTTGTTATTTAATCCTTTCCTTCTGTGAATACCTGCATCCATTAAATATTCATGATAATTATTCAATACATTTGATGTTGTTGATATAACAAACAATTGCATCACTCAAGTAGTAATAATACCAAGGCCATGCAAAAAATTTTTTAATAATGCATGTCTACCAGTAGTTCACAAGAATAAATAAATAGGGAGGGTTTCCTTCCCAATAATAAATCTGATATTGATCACAGGTGTCAGATTTAATTAAAATTTCCTTACCACAAACAATGGTACCGCCTCCATCCTTGCATAAAATTTTTACTACAAGTGAAGGCTCCCCAATTGTTTGAAGGTTTTTTCATAAGGTCAACAAAAACTTTCCCTTATTTTCCCCTCGGACCAGGCTTGATTGTTGCCGTATGGGCATTGATCACTGATGAAGATCCGCATTTGTGTGATGATTGCTTTTGTGTTATACCCCTCTAGAATAAAGTCAGTGTCTGCAACGGGTTGCTGTTTAGAATTTAGGCACACCAACGTTGGTCAAATGAAAATTAAAGAGCCTTCTCTGGTTTGGGTGCTGTGAGGGAAGATTAGTGAAAAAATCGTTGACTATTGGACGATGAACGGAACTCTGTTTGCATCGTTATATCTCTTTGATGAGATTAGCCTTGTGTAAATGAGAAGCGTGAGAATGACTGTAGTGTCCAAGACAGTGTGCGTGCTTTAGCGCCTGGGGTAAGATATGTCGGGAGTAAGACATGTCAAGGTTAAGGTATGGCCCTAAGCACATACCTTAACCCTCACATATCTGGTAATCAAACCTTGTCCTTGTATCTTAATCCTGACATATCACCCCGACATATGTGTGGTAATCAAACCTTGTCCTTGTATACTCGAAATGTTTCTTTTTCAACGGTGTGCTGCCTTGACATGTAAATATATATTTATAATAATATTAATATTATTACTGATTACGAAAAGCAAATATCAATTATTTACCATCTTGATGAGGATCTTATAATTACCTAGAAAAGATCTGTTCCGCGTTTTGATTTCAATTAAAATACTTGTATAAATAAAAGATATATCAATGCAAATTAAAGAAAAGTGCTTCCGGTCAGCTATTAACACGTCTTCAGGCAGGTACCAAACAACATCATGTCATTGTTAAAAAATAAAATTGTTTCCAAAAAAAAAAAAAACCAATCCCAATAATGGCGTTTGTCGATCAAACTTCTTAATTGGTGGTCCGCCAATGACAACGATAGAAATTTGTTATGCAGATCTGGGATATCAAACTTCCTAGTTAACTATATAGTTATTCTTATTATATATAAACAAATGAACACAGATCATTCTATTCTCATTCTATTCTCAGAGTTACGAGGTAATGATTTCTCACGATAGACAAGAATTTAAATAGGAAAGATAGTAAGTAAAAGTTACACATTAACTTTTTGTTTTTATAATATATTAATAAAACCATTGGAGCAAAAACCAGCATTCCAACATAAAAATAATCTCTCTCTTGTTTGATGTTTTGCAATTCTTTCTATTTGCTTTTCTAAAACAACAATAACAAAATCGATATCTTAGAAGGTCATCATCGCTAAATAGATTTTTTCTTATCGCATTGATCAATTTTGATTCTCATTACTATTACTAATTCGGTTTTTAACAAATTATTGCAAGGGTTTTGAACATCTTTCTCTAGGATCAGATCACGGGCCGTTTTTAAGATTAATCAGGAAACCAAAATTTCCTTGCAATTGGATATTATTTTTAAATATATCATCCATCTCTAAAGTGCAGAACATATAGATCATCAGAAAAAGTTTTTAATAAAGAACTGTCCACAGTTCCATTTGCATTAAATACAGCAAAGGATTCATCTAGTTGTTGCGAGCTTGAACAGACTATGCTACCATTAATTTAATTTGGATTTGTATGATCCTATAAACATCCGGAAAATATAAAAAAATTTTACACGTGTCAATTGTAAGTTTAATAATAAAAAAGTGTAAAACTTACGTTGGCACTGTAAGATTTACACAATATTACGTCGGCATCGTAAGATTTATGCAAGTTTACGCTAAATTAATTTCCTGATGAAGAAATTGATTACGCTTCTACAAAGAACGTCTTGAATTTCAGATATTTTTTTTTTAAGACGCGTCAGGATTTCGAAAGTTATACATTGGTTACCTTACTTGGGGTAAATCAATATTGAAAGTTTGGAACCTCGGGAACTTCTAATTGAATCACGATGAAAAGTTTGATGATGATGATTTTTTGTTGATGCTAAAGTTGTTCTTTAAATAATGCAAATTTTTATTCAAGATTTATTAGTGTGTAAAGAATGCACGCTACTATGATGAAAGCAATAGATAATTATTTACCTCCCCCCAGACAAGAGAATTGTTCGTTACGTGCTATTTAGTGAAAAAGGAAGTAATGTGACTGTTATACTCAAACAATCCCATTTTATTCATTCAAACAACAATCAAGTTTTACATTTTATATAATAAATCATTATCACCAGAAAGAGAGAAATTTATATATAAAATTGATAATGAAATGCTAGTGCCCAATTCTGATATAGAAAGTAGAAAAGATTATTTTTTTTCACTAGTCAAAAAAAAAATAAGGAGCATAACCTTTGTAAAATTTTGACCCGTTTATATTTCTAGAAAACATCCACTATTAATCCTACTGTCACTGCTACTACTTCAACATCCACTACTAGTCCCGTACTGCCACTGCTATAACTTCAAGATCCACTCTAATTTTCTACGCAACAAAAAATAACGACTTCTTTAAAACCTCATATTACAAAGAATAATCATTAAACAGCATTTTCTGGGTGAGACGGATATATCGCATATTGAGAATTCAGAACCAATAATTGAACAAAAACAGAAACGATATTATGAGGATGAATTATTTTTAACACCACTAAGCAAGGTTAAGATATAACTTAACATTAATTTTCACAAAAAACTTTCCGAATGAATAGATCAGAACTATTAACACGCGGTACAATAGTGATTTACCACTCTATAACGTAGAGTTTTCTTTATCAGACTCGGGATTGTGCCAATTTCGCTTACGAATGTCTTTTTCGTCATGCGACAACCACAACCTATCAATTCTACTGCACCAGACACTAAAATCATCGATTAGAGATTCGAATAATTGTGTACTTTATGTTCCAGAGTTAACTAATTTTAGTGTGGTGATTAATTATAACATCAATATTAATGATTGCAATAATAAACCATTTTATCTATTATCGCAGCGATCAAAAAATTTCACTAAGAATAACTTCTGGTCTTCGCTTAAAAAAGCATAACTTCTGGTCCTCGCAAAGGAAAATAATAGATATTGAAATAAAACTCTGTGATAGAATCATTATTTTTATTAAACGTAAATAAGCTTTTAAAAATATAATAAAAATAAAAATGTTGTTTTTATTTCTTTGTTTAAAGCGTTTTATTAAGAGCAACAAGTGTAGTTCTTTGGTAAAAGGTAAAAATCCACGTTTTATTTGCTTTAGTGAGTAGGAAAAGGTTAGGATTAACGTTGGTTAACTGGTGGATGTTAATAAAGTATCGTCCATTAGGTTAATCGGAAATATTAGTAGTAATATTGTAATAGGAAATGTAAGGCTTTTCGGCTAACATGGCAGCCTTCTCTGGTCTGGTGCTGTGAGAAAAGATTAGTGAAAAGTGTCATTGACAATGATGCAGCCTCGGTAAACTCCAGGGCCATGTGGCCTCTCCCTGGAGTTTAGTTGCATCATTGTATCCTCAGAGAAATCTTGGTCAGATTGGCCTTCTGCACACGAGGAACGCGTGAGAATGACTGTAAGTGTTAAGGTAGCGTGCGTGCTTCAATGTCTGTAAATTTCCGATAACCAAACATCACTTATCAAAATGTTTCACTTCCTTGTATCGCCTTGACATTTTCATATTATTTAATGTTAATAATAATGTTGATTACGAAAAGCCAAATACCAATTGTTTAACATCTTGATGAGAATCTTATATTTACCCAGCAAGTTTTGCTCCACGTTTGATTTCGGTAATATTCATTTAAATAAAATAAAAGACATATCAATACAAATTAAAAAAAAGTTACCTCTGGTTAGTTATTTAACGTTTCTTTTTAGAGCCCAATCATGCCAAATAACTTCACTCGCTTTTTGTCATTTGTCAAAAAATAAATTGTTTTTCCAAAAAAAAAAAAAAATCAATCACGTCAAAAAAAAAAAAAATAAAAAAAAATAGGATTCCATACATAAATCTTTTTTTTTTCTTAAAAAAAATAATGATGTCTTTCACAATTAATAAAAGAAATCAGGAAAATCCAAGAGAAAGAATTACTCGGTAAGTGTTGTTTATTGTAAGAATGGCGGTGGCGGTTATTGCCACCACTCTTCACTCTAGTTTTTTTGAAAAATTGACATCATGGCACAAAAAGTTCAGCGACTAAGTGACTTGCACTATATACATGAATCGAAAATATTAATGTGTGGTCTTATAAATTAACCGAATTTAACAAAAATATTTTTATTTATTATAGTAACTCTCTCATTGATAATACAAGCTTACCAAATGCAAAAGATTATGAATTTTTTTTAATACATTTGATCCACGAAAGGTTTATGCCATTGAGTTTTTTGCATGGTGTGTCCTGAATAATAAATATGATATTGATGTTGATCTCAAAACCTTAGTTCATACGTATTTTAATAAAGTTAATGGATTATCAAGCCAAGATATTTGGAATGTTTATAAGTTGGAATTTGATGTCACTAGAAAGGTAAGGTATTTTTTATTTATATACAAAAAAAAAAAAAAAAAAGCCATAGTTAAATTTATTGATTAGTGTTGTAATGTTGCCTTAAATTCATCTGGCACCATTACCTTATGTAATAATATTGTTATTTTTGTTTTAATTACTTTCTCAGGATGATCTGTCTTCAAAAAATAAAAATAAAAAAGATCGTGAAATTTATTATAATTTCGTAAGGAGTGGAGATGTAAAACTTGTTAGTAAAACTACAGTGAACCCTCTATAAGTGCACCCCCCTCAGGAACATAGTGCTATTTCTTGTGAGCGTGCATTTATGGAGGGTGTGCATTTATGGAGGGTGATTTTATAAGCTCTCTATAAGCTTGGGGATGATATGGGCTGTGCATTTATGGAGGGTATACATAGTGAGTGCATTTAGGGAGGGTGCACTTAGGGAGGGTTCACTGTATGATAATAATTAATAATTTAGAGGCAAAAAAGCTCTATGCTTCAAACTTTGATATAAAATTGAGAGAAAATTTTAAAGATAAAATCAATAAAACTTTGGTAATAAAAATTTTTAGTTCATTCTATAAATTTTCTAAAAGATTGATAATTTAAATTTTCAAATCTAATTTAGTCACAAAGAGAAGACACAGAATGGATGATAAATGTGAATGGAAAAAGATATGATATTGTAAAAATGACATGCAAGTCCTTTGAAAAAACCAATGTTTTTAGATTAAATTACAATGAACCAATATTATCATACATAATTGACTTCACAGAATCAAATCCAATTGAAGACAATAGAAGAGAATGTCTTACATGAGTAACAAAACTTCCCAAAGATTTATATCAAGAATTTGATGTTTCCTCTATCACCTATCTGTCATATTTATATCAAGATCGAGAAAAGGTTGAAGAAAAGTTTCCCAAAATTAATAAAGAAGATTCTTTGTTTAATGAACATTATTTTATTTGGCAAATATGCTGCTTAATGTAAGTATTGATTCTGTTGCTCTCTCTTACATATAATTATATATTGAACTTATAAAAAAAACAGATTTAAATTATGGAATAGCAATGATTTCAATCCTAAACACCACAAAACATTTTCAGAAGGATCTTTCGAATTCTTGGGGCTGCGTTCGATTTATCACATTTTAGTTGAAGGACTTGGTAATGGTGTTATCCGTGTGTATGTAATATTTATTACTTTATATATAAATGGAGTTTTTATGGAAATGAAAAGGCTGCTCTTAACTGAAAATTAACCTGTCTTTGTTTTTACATCAAATTAACATTTAATACAAATTTTAGAGGTGAACAATCTTCTGAAGCTTCAAGATTGCGCAAAAAGAAATTAATAGAGAAAGAAAAAAAGCTCAGGCAACAGCAACAGGAACAGGAAGAAATATTTTTCTCCTATGAAATGAAAAAAATTGGGAAAAAGGCTGATTTTTGGGTTGAGAGTATACATGAAATAGGGTTGAAATAAGGTCGAAACTGATTCTTACTATGTAGTTGCCTCAAGTCAAAACATTTCGACTTTGGGGTTTTAATTTCGACTTCATGTATAGTTGAGAGTGAAATTGCTGAAAACATATATTAAATTATTTTTACCGAAACATCTGGTTCACCATTTCAAAAAACTCCAAAAGAAGACAAAATAAAATCAGATAAGAACAAACTTCTCAGATTTGCTTACGACTCGATGTACCAAATGATACATGAATTAATTCAAGAAAAATTGTGATTTTTACCAGATTCGAAAAAGAGCCTCAAGGATCTGAAAGATTTTGAAATATTTATGTTGCTCAATACTATCATAGATTACACACTAATACATATATTTTGTTTATCTGGAACTTGCTCTGAGCCGTTTTTATCCAAGGACAATTTTTTCAGTGAAATGCTTTAGAGATGGTTTCTGATATGCGGAAAAAGAATTTTTCGGTTAGTTTTCGGTTAGTTTTAGGTGCATATCAGGAACTTGATCTGAGCCGTTTTTATCCAAGGACAATTTTTTTCTGGAAATGCTTTAGAGCCTGTTTCTGATATGCGGAAAAAGATATCAGTTGGAAATTTCGGTTAGATTTTGGTTAGATTTTTATAATTGTTATGCTATTTGGCTTTCTTGCCAGGCTATGCTTCGTTCATCTATTCACTTCGCATAGCCCTTTTTAATGGGAATCTTAGCAGCATAAAATTTCGTTAGATTTTTTTGGTATCAGCTAGAATTTTTCGGTTAGATTTTTATAATTGTTATGCTATTTGACTTTCTAGCCAGGCTATGCTTCGTTCATAGATATTCATTACATTCATATCTATTCACTTTGCATAGCCCTTTTTAATGGAAAGCTGTGTAGTATAAAATTTCGTTAGATTTTTTTTGGTTAGATTTTTGGATTGCATAGTTTTTTAAGCTTTGGAGGCAATAAAAACGGCTAAAAGTTAGTTAGATAGTTAAGAAATCTATAGCCTCTACAGGCGTTTTCTGATATGTAAATAAATTTGGTACCAAAAATCGAACCAAAATGACGACTAAAATGCAAAATTCACCACCTTCGAGTGTGGCCAAAAATTCGGAATAAAAAACTGTTAGCTCTTTGGCCTTCCAGGCGGGACAGGCACATGGCTGCAGTGTTGTGACCAGAAACTCTTTTGGCTTCCCGAAACGTTTCGGAAAATGAACTTACACTAAGCAGAAAACTAAACCTAAACATAAACTACTAAGCTAAACTTGTTTCTGTTAGTTTCTGTTTCGGGTTTTCCCTAAACTCAGAGTTTTGGGTCACAACACTGTGGCTAGTGGCTTGAAAACCAATCCTAGTACAATTAATTCATCCAAAAACTGTTTTTGAAGATCCTGGAATTGTTGTTGACTGAATCAGAACCGTATGAGTTATGAATTAAAAATTTTTGTTTCATTGTTGATATTATTATTGATTTTCTCAACATTATCATTGTTATTTTAGTGGGTTATGCCATTTACTCAATTTTTCGTCATGACTTGTAGATTTTCTTTTGATGATAATAATACCTGAAAGTTTTATTTTTTTTAATATCAATAAAATAAGCAAATTGTAAATCATCTTTACGCGGTTCTCTTAATTTTTCTGATGTTGAAACCAGCTCCTGTTTCGCAGTAACAAAGAAATTAAAATTACATATATATTTTTGTGTCTGATCCTCGGGGAGGGGTTATAATGACCATGTTTGTCCTTATGTATCATTTAAGATTGTTGACAACGATACTGACTTTTGCAGTGAGTTTACTCAAAAACCATCCTGAGAGTTGTGATGATTGGTTATTTATGAGAAATAGAAAAAGTTCACAAGTAAATTTGGTCTACTGGTTCAATGAAATAATTACGGTTTAGACTTTAATCAACTTTCTTCCAATAGTCACAATTCTAGTTTTGATAAGTTAGACAAAAAGATAATGAGATAAAGCTCTATATATTCTTTCTGTGAACAGACTTGTACTTGTGTAGGATCCGCTTTTGGATTTATAATTAGGAAAAGAAGACAAAAAATAAGTATAGGATAAACTCTTATATATAAATTTATTCCTCCTATACAACATTAATTGGGATGGTAATCAAACTAAAGAACCAGCTATTGAATTGATCGCTGAGAAGGGTCTTTATCCTTTAGTGTAAAACTGAAATAATTGTATCTTTGAGGTGATATAGATTTTAATTTAAAGAGCGATTCTATATTATTAAATAAAATAAAATGCAGATTCGATTATGTAGTAGAAACGGAAAATAGCTTTTAGAAGAGTAATAAAATTGATTTCAGTTACAATGTTAATGTATTTGCCTTTTATCCACACATATAGCTGAGCACTTTTTCATGTATGAATTGACTTATAAAAGCTTTTGATTTTGAATATTTGGGAAATTTAATCTTAAGCTTTTTATTTTATATTTTTTACCAGAGAAGTTGGAAATATGAAAGAAAAACAATTGTTAATTTTGTCAGAAGTAAATACACCAGTAATTTTATATGTATTTCAAACAACCAAAGAATTTGCAGTAAAATGAGTACTTTAAATTTAATAATTAATGCATGCTGACGAAATTTCCGGGATAGTATAAAAGTTACGAGTGATTAAAATCATTAAAATTGAAAATATTGAAAGCTTTATGAAAATTTGTCACCTAAAAATATCTCAATTGCTTTTTACTTTCGTCAAGATTAATGATGCTATGAATAATGGACCATGATGTGAAAAGAAATTCTTGAGATAATACCATCTCTACATGTAACCCTTCACGCGGAATATTTTAGTTAAAAACCATACCCGTTTTGTATTTCTAAAACTACAATAAACTCTTCGAAATATAGATAACTTTTTCAAAATTTCTATTGTGCATGATGAAATTTTTGACTTTAGTCGTTGATTAAAGACCAAGTTGCGTCTTGACAAAAGTAAAAAACCCTCAACTAAAGTAAAAAAAACCTTGATGCAAGTAAAAAAAAAACTTGGTGAAGGTAAAGTTAAAGTCCTGACTAAAATCAAACATAAATAAATAATTTGATGCCTTTTTTCTTCTTAGGAAATTTTCTGTTTCTAGTAATGATTTAATATTCATCCTCAACATTAATTATTGAATCTCACTTTGCATCAATTAAAGATTTGTTTCATGAAATGTGACATGTGACGGGGGATATTTTGCAAAAAAAAATAAAATAGAAACTTGTTGTGTTTATTTTTTTTAATTTTTACTTAATTGGAATTTTTTTAGTTAAATCTTTCCTATCCTTATTTTCAATTTTGATCCGGAATATTTTCAGAGTCCTGTTTACAAAATAAAAGAATTTAATTCGTACACTGATTAAAAATTACCTTGAATTTTGAGATATTATCTTAATATTATATTGAATACAATCAAATTATTGATAGATGTGGGACTTGCTTTATTAATTTAGAATTTATTAATAACTTTGTTGATACATACATATTTTTTTATTATTTTTGTATCTCATCGCCTAATCCAAATGTATTTTAAATATGATAACAAGGCTTCTTGAAAAAATAAATTAGGTGTCAGTGGTTCAAAAGTGTTCAATTATGAAAGTTCTAAAATATTATAAAAAAATAAAATTTCTTTGACTGTAGGCAGACTTGCAATATAATGTGATAAAATAAACACAAAGAAATTTTATCTTTAATTTTCCATGTTAAAATTATATATTAATAATATTTATTTTTTTAAGGTTGCCATCATCCAACATACAATTTTGAATGTTTCTTTAACTTGCTAATATATGATCTCCCTATTACACCATCATCTGAAAGCCAATTAATTAAAAAAAATAATGAAAGCATCTTTTCCTGAACAATTAACTGTTAGTGTTGAGGAGACCAGTACCAACAATGAAAAAATGTCAACAAAAAGTAGACTAATGACTTTTTTTTTATTTATACATGTAATGTGCACACAATATACATACACATCTCAAATGTTAAAAATGATAAGAAAAAATATTTGTAATAATAATCAATAATTTCATATGCTTAGGGAGATTGATAATTTTTTTTACCATAATATGTAATAGTTGATATGAAAGAAAAACTTTGGAATTAATAAAAGTATTTTTTGATAGAAAATGCCAGAGTGAGCAAATACAATAAATATTTTCATTTGCTATGCTATTTAAACATTGAATCTTTGGTGTTTATACAATTCTTTGATTTTTGTGAAACAGTAAAATCCTTTTTAAAATAATCATTTATTATTATTGTACAACAAATAAACCATTTTCTACCTAAAAAAAAATGCTTAATTTTCCACCCGAACTCCTAATTGAAACATTCAAATACATTGAAGATGATGACTATAAAACATTATATTCTTGTATTCTTGTCAACAAACAATGGCGCAATATTAATATTCCAACTTTATGGAGAAATTCATTGGTTGGAAACAACATCAAAATCAAAATTATAATTAATTGTTTATTGAAAGAAGATAAGGATTTCTTGACTATAAATGACATTGAATTAAATTTTGAACTATTGGAAAAACCACCATTATATAATTATGCTAGATTTTGTGCTAGAATTGTTTTGTCCAATTATGTTAATTTTGGATGTCTGATAAAAAGAAACTTTAATTTTTTTGAACTATTCTCTGCACAAAATAGATTAACCTTTGCACAAAGATTACAAAATTTACAAAATAGCTTAGCCTCTGCACAAAATTTACAAAATAGATTAACCTCTGCACAAATTTTAGAAAATAGATTAATAAAATTTATTTTAGATCATTCAGCAGGTATTAGAGAGCTTAGTCCTAGATATATAAATCATAATTTGTTAATTAATCATCATAGATTTGGTAATATCTTTCAGAATCTTTATGAATTACATTGTGATAATTTTGTTTCGAGTGGTGAGTTGTTTGATGAATTAACAAAGATTTGTAAAAATATTCAATCATTAAAAATATCTTATGGTAATGGTAAAAATGCTCATAGTTTAGCACAGCTAATTAAGGCACAAAAGCAAATTAAATATTTAGTAATTGAAACATGTAATTTATCAAGAGAAAATACTTTACCAGATGAATTGAAAGAAGCAATATTAACACATTCACAATCAATAACCCTTTATGAATCTACTAGCAAAAGAAAAAATTCAGACAATTCATTAATAACATCATTTAAAAATTTAAAAGCTTTATCATTATCAACTGTTGATAATGGACTAAAAAATTTGAAAAATACTTCACTGCCATATATTGAATCTGTGAGGTTACATAATATATGTCAATCATCTGTGCCAGCCTTGCGTAATTTTATTAATACCAATGGAGGAACTCTTAAATGTCTGTATATTAATAGTAATAAATTTTGTAACGAAAAATATATCAAAGTTGCAAGGAGACTGTTTCAATCAATTGCACAACATTGTGAAAATTTAGAAGATTTATCTATATTTTATGATGATGAATTAGACCAGGAATTAGTGGAAGTACTAAATAGTTGCACAAAGTTAAAAAGAATTAATTTTAATACTGGTTCTTACTCTGGTGATAAAATAATAACAGTATTAAATCAAACACTACCAAAAAAATTAGGGTCAATAATTTTTACTCGAGGAGTTTTTTCTGATAATGGTGACCATTCACTAGCTATTCTAATGAAAAATTGGAGAGGACCCAAACCTGTAACAATGAAATTTTGTTATTGTAATGATTATGCATTGTTAAAAAAATATCAAGATTTAGGATTTTTAAATATTTAAAATTATTTTATGTAATTTTTTTTTATTTATTATATATTATAATTATTCATTTAGTTATATACAATGCAATATATTTATTATTTGTAGTTGGAAATTATTATTTATTTGTTAAATGGTATTTAGTATTAGCCTACAACTATTTTATATACATATATCATCTAATCATTACAATAAAAATTTTTTCTTTTCTAGAAAATAAAACTTATTAAGAACTGCACTAAATATTAAACACAACAAATATAAGAAAGGTGCTCCGCCACCAAAAAAAACATTTTTAGTGTCAGCAATAATAACAATTGATTCAATTGATTTTTAAATTAAATACTTACTAATGCTAACTAATCAGAATCAATAACAATGCTTTTCTTAAAATGTAAAATAAACAAAATTATTATTATAAATGTTTATCACATGAAAAAAAAATACTTCCCAAAAAATCAAGTTTTAAAAACAGAGTTTTTTCTATTCATATTCTGCATTGTTCACTCCCTTCATTTCACCTTACTTCATGCTCATTAAGGATTAAGAAACTTGAAATATGAGGCTCCTTTTCCATTACTAGTACTTGTCTCGGGGTAAGTCATGCAATGGTGAGCCCATGTGACTTGCTTAAATGTGTTATTGAAGTTCAGCGAGTGAGAGAATGGAACTCTTGTTGGGTGTATTCACCATTCGTGATATGACCTCTCTCTTTTATTGTTTATTTATTCAGAAGGAAACATTTTTTTTAAAAAAAAAGAGATAAAATTCGTTAATTTGATTTGATTGGTTACATTTGTAATATGAGAAGCATTATTATTATAGCAACAAGTAGCAAACAACAATGAATCATCATTTTTTGAGGATGACAATAAAGATTAAGATTATGAAAATACTCAAGTTTTTCAAAAAACGGCTGTCCTATTTATATGTTTTGGATTTACAAAACAGATTACTGTGTCTTGGCCCAAGTGATGTCATTTTTTGGCTCTTTGCGACAAAGAAGATGCAACCCCAAACCCAATGAATTTTGTTCTCGCGTAACATGGTGCGTGTGATTTGTAACACGAAAACAATAAGCTCGCATTGCGTTCTCAGTTGTGAGCTTGTTGTAATAATGGAATTAAATGATTTTTAATTTCCTCAAGTTGGGATTTTTGATCTTAGTCAGGGGCTTTTATTTTCGTTATTTTTTATAGGGAATGGTAGTGAACCTGGTAAATTTTCGCCAAATAACACAACATTAGTTGGAATGGCTATCAAACTAAAGAACCAGCTACCGAATAACCCTAAACTTATGCTGTTTATAACCAAAAATTTAAATTTATTCTTATAGAAACAATTGAATTAATCATTGTGTAAGGTTTTTATCCTTTAGCCAGTGAAAAACTGAAATTTATCATTGATGGTGATTTAACTTAAAGAATAATTATATATATTAAACAAGTAATTAAAATAAAACAAATAAACTGATAGAACAAATAAAGCGAATAATTCATTGAATACAAATTTTTGTAGCATCCTTTGCTACCGTGATATAAAAATTAATTACAAAAGTTTCGGAACACTTGCTTTTGTTAATTATGCAAAAATATACATAATAAATATGTATGAAATTTATATCATTTGCGGTTTAGGTTCTTGTGAATATCTATACAAAATCCCATGCATCTAGGTTCTGTAGAACTCGAATAAATATATAAAAATGAAATTCGATTAAAAATTTTTCTTTAAAAATCACTAAATTTCTGCGAAATTTTTTATTTTATTACTCAAATTCTATGCAATAATTTTAATTTAAAATTTTAACTACTTTTAATATTTAGTTGGGTATCCTTTGCTCTTTATACAAGCCTGAATTCTTCTAGGCATTCTTTCAATCAAATTCATTGAAACATTTCGAGGAATTTTATTCCATTCCTCTTTTAAAGCAGCCTCAAGTTCAAGTTCTTTAAGATTTGTTAGATTGTTAGGACGACTTCTAATAGACATACTATTGTGGTAAGAAAGCCAAGTATTTTAGAAATACTTCTATATGAGGCTCCACTTTTATAAAGACAAACTATTTGTCCGCGTTGAGCTTCAGTTAAATTAGACTTTTTTTTTTTTGAAATTTAAAATTTTGAAAACTTTAAGATTTTTTTAAAAAAAAAGATCTTAAAAAATATTATTTTTTCAGAATCACCAAACTTGAGTTTTCATATACAAAATTTCAAAACATATTACTATGTAGGCTCTTGGACAATTTCTAAAACAACATGTTAAATTTTTGATTGCCAAAATTTAATCGAATTTCATTTTTTCTAGTTCTACAGAATCTAAGATGCATGGGATTTTGCATAGATATTCGCAAGAACCTAAACTGCAAATGATATAAATTTCATATATGTTTATATGTATATTTTTGCGCAATTAACAAAAGAAAATGTTCCGAAACTTTTGTCCAGGTACTGTATGTATGTATTTTATAAACAGGATCCTTCCAGCATCTCTACTTCGCGACACATTTTCCAAAACCAAGTTACAAGTTATTATAATTTTTTATGAAGTTATCATGTATAGTTTTGCGTAGCTAATGAATTTAAATTTTGGGGTCAAATGTAAACACCAAAAATCCAAACCATTCGGAGCTTTAATTATATTATTTTCCAAAATACTTTGTTAGAGGGAAATCAAAATTTATTTTGTGATATTTATATATACTTTAATATTATATACACGATTTTTATTCTTTAATCCAATCATTCATCCACTTCCTAACACTATCCATAATACCCATAACATTCTCTTCATTATAATCTTTAAATTTAGTTGTTAATGCTGTTTTAGATTTTTCATAACAAATATCACATTCATCTTTAAAATCCTTCATCATTACTACTTCTAAATAAATCAATCCAATAATAGTACATAATTTCTCTTTTTGCTGCTCATTATCTTTATTCTCAAAATTATTTTCAAAGTTAAATTCATCCAATGAATTTTTTCCAAAAAATTCAAAAAATTCATTTTTAGGTTGAAATTTACCATCAAATGATTGTAATGACAAAAATTTTAAGAGTATTTCAATTTTTGGTTTTTTATGTTCATTTACTTCTTCCTCCTTTTCTCTTTGATTTTGATTTTGATCATCACCATCATCATCATCAAAATAAAGATCATTACTATTACTCATCTTCATCATGAGCATTGGTCTACTTTCTACACAACATTTTTTTAATATAATAAATAATATGTTAATTATTATTAATCTCAATATAGATAGACAATATCTTTTAAAATCATTTTTGATATGTAAGCAAATAAATAAATACCAGTAACAGAAAAGGCACCACCAAAGGCACTACCAATTGTTGAGGAACAGGTAGATATTGAACCAATTTTAAACATTTTTGATAATTGTTTATTTGGAACATGTCTAACTTCTGGTTGTTTTTGAGATATTGATTCTTTTGATTGTTCATCAATTGCAACAAAACTAATAATAATAATAATAATAATAAAAGATTATCATTAATAATATTATTATTAATTTACAAGAAAAATTATTATTGCTTGATATTATTATTTGTTGCTTACCTTGTATATTTTGACATTAGATTATATTTTATTCCCAAGTTAATAATATAATCTTTAAATATATAATCAGGAATAGTTTTATCTTTAGATTTAAGATGTTTATGAATAAATGATCTGTTTTCTTCCAAATCTTGTATAAGTTTCCTGGCAGCCAGTGTATGGATTTTTGATCCAGTCAAGGTTACATGATCTATTGGTATATTCAGTTTCATTGGTCCATCTGAGGATTTAGCTGTCAAGATAATTTCATTAGATGGTTGAACATCTTTTGATAAAATACAATAAACTATGAACCTAACACCTGGGTAAATTTCTGGTATTTTATAAGGTGCTTGTTGTAATTTAATGCATTCCAATAATTTTTCAACATCTTTTTTAGGTTTTTCTGCTTTTTTTGTTGTTGTGGATGTTGGTTGTGGTTCATTACTAAAAAAACTAATTACAGGTTTATCTTTCTTTTCCTCTTCTTTCTTTTCCTTCTCTCTCTTTTTTTCTTCTTCGGCTCCCTCTACTTGAAACAAATAATTAAAGAATTTATCTTCATCTTCATCTTGTTTGTCATAACTTGTTGTCCATTTAATTTTATAATCATTGATAGGTGGTTTTACAGCATTTTTCAACATTCCCAAAATTTTCTTATCCATTCTTTCTTTATTAGTAACAAATTCTGCATATCCATTACCAGCTCTAGCAACTGATTCCACTAAATTATGTGAAACACTATCACCAATACCCAATGTAAAAATTCTTAAATCATTGTTTTTATCTTCAACATTTTGATCAATCAATTCAATGATTTTATCAACTCCCCAAACTTCACCATCTGTCAATAAAAATAAAGTGGTGGTCATAGTTTTCAATTGATTATCAAATGCCCATTTTATAGGATTGTAAATTTCTGTTCCACCATAATTTGCATCTAAATTTTTTGCCAGGTTGATGGCTCTATCCAATGTTTCTTGAGAGTATTCTTGAGATTTTGGAAATAGTGAATCATGACTACTACCAAATGATACCACATTAAAGTAACAATCTTCTGGTAGTGAACGTAGAAATAGTTCTAATGCTTGGCCTGCTTTTTTAATTGGTTCGCCTTGCATTGATCCTGATCTATTTAATAATATTATTAATGTAATTTCTTTAGTAACGATTATTTTGACATGAAGAAAACAATCAAATGAAACGAATGATTAAATTACCTATCAACTATAAAAACTATTTCAGTTTGAATTGGGTTTAAAGAAAATTTTGGAACTAATGTCAACATTAAACAATTAGATTCTGTTTTAGGATTATATTCAAGGAATGCTCTAATAAATAAATAGAAGTATATTTCTTAAAACTGTATAATAATAATAATAATAATAATATACATAAACATAATTAATTAATTAATTAAAATTACCTTGGCTTATCAAGATCTTCACTCTTGACAACTAGAACAAAATCCTTATCTAAATAAGTAATATGTTCAGCCAAAATAACATTAGAAATTTTAGAATTGCCATCAACATTCAACTCAGTAGAGATCAAATGAGAAGGAGACTCAATTGATTGGATGGTTGAGGTCATTTTACAATTAACTTTTAAATCTAGTTCATAATTTGCTTTCCCAGAATATTTTACATCATCAGGTGCAAGTTTTTTACCATCATTAGCTGTTGAAGAAGAAGATCCATATCTTTCTGCAATACAAGTTGGTAAAACAAATCGTATTTTTTCATTCTCTGAGTCATGTTTAAGCTCAGTGACATAGGTGATTTTGATGACTACTGTCTGATTACTTTTTAGATTCCCAATTGAACATTGAAATACATCTGAAAGTTGTTCTTCAAGTAAATAAGCACTATGCCCTTTCTATAACAATATTAATGATAATAATAATTGTCATTAATTAGTTTATTAACTAATGTACATATAGATTATAGATTATTACCTCAACAGCTTCTTTGTAATCAGAGGCAGCTTGTTTTGCTTCTTTCACAATACCTTTAATTTTATATTTGCCATCAATTTCTGCTTCAAAATCACAAACTGCTGCAGCTTCATAAATTGGAAATTTATACAACGCTTCAATGTTTTTATCTTCTACATTTTTATATGTTTGATAGATTACAACTAAACAATAAAAAGGTAAAAAAAAAAATAATTAATAAGAAATGATGATAAATGACAATAGTATTTGCTTGTTTATTAGTTTCGTTACCTTCAGCAATCATATCAACAACTATTAAAATCAAAAACAGGAATATTATTAGCAAAATTATAATAATTGATTAATTATATTAATTTATGAATACAAACCATTTGCTTCAACTTTAACATTTTGTAAAGGAATTGGTTTTTCTTGAGAATCGGGAGAAACACAAATAAGACCATAACATTGCATTTTGTTTATTATAATTTTGAATTTTGGGATAATTGATATTTAATATGATTTAAAAAATATACTCCCACGAAAAATTTATTTGACATACGTTATTGATTTGCTTTATTGGGAATTGTGCGTATTTTAAATTCACATGCAAATTAACCAAATTTTGATTATAAAACAAATACTGATTATTATTAAGAGATAAATTAGTCTTTTCAAGAATATTTTTATTAAAAAAGGTAAGTTTTTTTAATTATATTCAGGCACTAATAATAATAGTAATTGTTCAACCTTTTTCAATAATAATAATGATTCACGACGAAACTCTTCTTCACAAGTTGAAATTAAAACTTTTAGTGATCAAGATAAACTTCAGTGTTTTGAAAGTCGAGATTGGTAGATGTACAACATGTTCATTACCACTTATCTGAAGCTGATTATAATCGTGCAGCAGCAGTTTTATAAAGAAGGATGGCGAAAAGTTACAAGCTAGGTTACATGAGTTGTATAATAATAATAATAATAATAATTACCATTATTTTTGTATATACTACTTAAATTATAGTCCAATTGAATTGACAAAATTTGGTTGGAGGTAATTATTAACAAGAATATTTATAGTATTAATAACAGCCCCACAATCAGTTAAGTTTGATAACAATTTGGAAACAATATAAATAAGTTAAAAAAAAAATGCAAACCAAAAAAAACATTATTTGCATAGCTCATTCAGATAAAAGAATAAAAATTAGGTGAAATTTATTATACATATGGTATTTTTACTTCCAAAGACATGTTGTTGAAAAGAAGAAAATATGATGAAAAATGAGGTCATGTCACCAGAATTTTAATTGTCAAAAAAAAAATTTACCGAAAATTGATAAATTCAAAAACACCAGTTAACTAAATGCCAATCACATCTGGTATCTTTATTCTTGAAAGAAATGAAATGATCAAACTAAAATATTAGCTCCAATATCTGTTGATGGTGGTGTTATGTTAAATTATGCAAATACACATACGATGTGGTGTGGAATTTGCATGAGATGAAGTAAAATTATTAACTAATCAAAAACATTTATTTTATTACGTGTTATAAATTGATATGTGCATCTTATATAAAAGTTATCTCTAAACATACAATCCGAAATTGATTTATTTGAGACAAGAAAATGTTAAGTCTTTGCTGAGAATGCAAAGCTAAGTCAAAAAAATGATAAGCGTGAGGAATTAAGAGATGCTGAGCTCAATGCCAAAATTGCAAAACTGGAATATGATATATCAAGGTGATTAAGGAGTAGAATCAAACTGTTACTAATATTCCACTTTCTCCGGTTTGTTCGTCATTGCCTACTCCACCACCTATCAAGGACTATTCTAACAAGAAGGATATACCTGACCATAAACAAGCATTGATGCAGAGTGATAATGTTGATTTTGTCGAATTTGTAGGATCGGAATATAAGAAAAAAATCAAAGGCGAAACAATACAAAGTACTAAGGAAATAGAACTGGAGCTCAAGATTTTATCCCTTGCTTCTTTATTATCATCTGATTCATCACCATATCCTTTCTATAATAATAATAATAATAATAATAATTGTCATTAATTAATTTATTAATCAATGTACATATAGATTATAGATTATTACCTCAACAGCTTCTTTGTAATCAGAAAACAGCTTGTTTTGCTTCACCTTTAATTTTATATTTGCCATCAATTTCTGCTTCAAAATCAGAAATTGCTGCAGCTTCATAAATTGGAAATTTATATAATGTTTCAAAGTTTTTATCCTGTACATTTTATATGTTTGATAGTTTACAACTAAACAATAAAAGGTGAAAAAAAAAATAATTAATAAGAAATGATAATAGTGTTTGTTTGCTTGTTAGTTTAGTTAACATATCAACAACTATTAAAATCAAAGAGAAGGAATATTATTAGTAAAAATTATAATTATAACATTGCATATTAAATTATTATTTTGAATTTTGGATTAAAAATTAAAAACAAACTCCCACGGAAAACTTTTTAAAACGCGAGAGTATATTATATAAAATCAGTATGCAGTGCTAACCCAATTTGAAAACTATTGGCAGATTTTCTGCAAATAGTTACTAAATTTGATTAGCACGGCAGAATTTTTATTCTTTTTTTTTTTTTTTTTAAAGATGGTCAGGGATTTTAATAAATTAGATAGTTTGTTAGTGTCTTCAAGAATACTTTCAAATACTTTTTTTCTAAAAAACTTTCATTATAAAAGGTAAGTTTTTTTAAAAATTATATATACGTACGTACCTAATAATAATAGTAATCAGAAAACATCATCAAATTAGACAAATTTCTCGGTCTTTTTCAACAATTCAAAACAATTATCCTTATAATAATTACAACAATAATGATTTACGACGAAACTTTTCTTCACAAGTTGAAATTAAAACTTTTAGTAATCAAGATAAATTGCCACACCTACCAATTCCTACCCTTCAAGATACTGCAACACGTTACAAAAAAAGTTTATTACCACTTTTATCCCAAGCCGATTATAATCGTGCAGCAGCAGCTGTTGACGAATTTGTAAAGAAGGATGGTCTTGGTGAAAAGTTACAGGCTAGGTTACATGAATTGTATAATATTGAGGTGAATTATACATGCGTGTAATTCGATTTATTAAGCCACCAATAATAACAGTAATTATCGTTATTTTTGTTACTACTTAATTTACAGCCCAATTGGCTTGACAAAATTTGGTTGGACAAGGCATATCTTGAATGGCGTGAGCCTTCGTTGATTAATGTTAATTGGTGGTGTGAATTTGTTGATCCAGTAGATGGAATATTAAAACAACCTCCGCCAAAAGGTCAAGTTTCTGATTTTCAAATTAATAGAATGACTGGACTCATATCAAATCTATTAAGTTTCAATGATATAATTAATAAGTGCGTATGTCAACTTGTTGTTTATTTTATTGCTAGCCGGTTTAATATTGATGATTCTTTTTCTTTGGATTAATAAATCATTAATTCATTAGTGAACAATTACCGCCAGAATCCACACGACAAGGATTATTATGTATGAATCAATATAAAAATCAATTTGGAGCAACTCGTATAGCAGATCATCCAAAAGATCGTATTATCACAACTTGGCCAGCAACCGCAAAATTTATAATTGTTTTGTTTAAAGACCAAATTTTTAAAGTACAAGTATTAGGCGATAATGGCGCAAGGGTTCCTGTTAATGAAATAGAAAAGTAGGTGGATTTGTGTGTGTGTGTGTGTGCATATGATAATGATTTATTTATTTAAAAAAATTTTTTTATTTAATAGACAACTTAGATCAGTTGTTGAACAAGTTAATAAGATTCCTAGTAGCGAATTACAAGCTCCTGTAGGATTGTTAACAGGGGAACATCGTGACACTTGGGCAACTGTAATTATAAAAATTATAATATGTTTAATAAATTTGTATATAATCTATACAAATTATTTATTGAAAAATCTAAATTTTTTTCTTTTGAACATCAAAAATCTCAAAGGCTCGAAAAACATTAGAAATGAACAATAAACAAAATTTTGAAACAATTGACAAAGCATTATTTAGTGTGTCATTAGATGATTATTCGGTTGATAGTGATATTAGTGTATCACATAACAATTTGTTTCATGGATTTGATGGAAGAAATCGTTGGTTTGATAAAGCAGTTCAAGTTATTTTGCAAAGTAATGGCCGTGGTGGTATTAATGGAGAAGTAAGTTGAGTTAGAGCAAAAGATAAAAAGAAAAATATAAAATAAAGTATTTTTATTATTATGAAGTGTAAAATAGTTATTAATTAAAAAAGAAATTTGTTGGTTGAATAGCATTCACCTTCAGATGCAGTAATTCCTGGAAAAATGATGGATTATATTGTGTCAAGGTAAGTTCTAACATATATTTGATTAATAATATGGGGGTGGACAATAGAAACATCTATTGTAGTACTATTGACGTATAATTTGTTTCTATTGTCCACCCCATATGTATATTTACAATATGACATATTAGTAATATTACTTTATGGATAAATTAATAGAGAACCTGCCCAAGATCCACCAAATGCATCTTCAATTAGTTTACCCACCCCCGAACATTTAAAATGGAATTTAGATCCGTCTATCCAAAAAACCATAGAAAATGCGCAAGTTAATATTCAGTCAGCAATTGATAATGTTGATAGTGTTTTATTACATTATAGCGAATATGGTTCTAATTGGCTAAAGAAAAGTAAACTTTTATAAGATCATTTAATTATTTATAAAAAAAAAAAAAATCAAATTATTCATTATTAATTAATCAATTAATTGAATAGTCAAAGTTAGTCCAGATGCTTTTGTTCAAATGGCTTTTCAATTAGCTTATTATCGTCATTATGGTGAACCATGTGCTACTTATGAATCTGCTTCTACAAGAGCATTTTTACTTGGTAGAACGGAAACTGTTAGATCGTGCTCTGTAGACAGCGTTGCATTCACAAAAGCATTCGATGATAAAAACGTTAAAGTAATAAAAAAATTATTTTAATGAATGTCAACTACTTATTTATGAATGTTATTCATATAATTTTATTTTATTATATATAGAAAGAACAGAAAATTGAATTACTCAAAAAAGCCATCGAGAGTCATTTGGAATATATGATATCTGCTACCAAAGGTATACTATACTATACTATATAATCACTCGTTTCTCTCAAACGAAAAAAACTTTTTTTTATTAATTTCTCATTATAATTATATAATCAAGGCAATGGAGTAGATAGACATTTATTAGGATTGAGAGTACATCTTCAAAACGATGAGGAAAGATCTAAAGCAACAATTTTTAGTGATCCATCATACCTCAAATCGATGTATTTTAAACTTTCCTCTTCAAATATGAGCCCGGGTGATTATTTTTATGGTGGTTTTGGAGCAGTTGTGCCAGATGGATATGGTATTTGTTATTCTATTGGCAAGGAAAAGTTAAAGTTGAGTATAAGTAGTTATAAAAATGCCAAAGAAACCGATAGTGTTGCATTTAGAAAAACCTTGACTGGTGCATTTAATGATTTAGGATCATCGTTAAGTTAAAATTATATATATTTTTTAAAAGGGATATTTGATTTTGTCATAAAAAAATCTTTATTTTAAATAGAAATAAAAACAATAAAGCAAATAACTTAAAATTATAAATAAAAAACAGAATCATTTCAACATTATTTAATCAACTTTTAATAATTTTACTTCAAATTCTAACGTTGCACCTTTGGGAATTGCTAAAATAAATAAATAAATATCAATTATTTATCCAACGATATCAATAATGTTAATAACAATAATAATAATAAAATTTTTCTTTACTTACTTGGGGGATGACCTTTAGTGCCATATGCAAGTGCAGGTGGAATCACCAATTTTCTTTCACCTCCAACACACATTCCATTTATTCCTATCTCCCAACCTTAATTATTTAGTTCAAATAATAATGATAATACATTTAGATTTTATTTCATATTTTTATAATTTTTAAAATGCAAATTAAATTTATTATTACCTTTAATGACTTCAGCTTTTCCTAGAGTAAAAAAAAAAGGTCTCCCAGTTGTATTTGAATCAAATACTTTGCCATTCTCCTTCAAACGTCCTATGTAACGAACACCAACCTAAATATTATACAAGATAAAATAATAAAATAATAAATAATTAGAATGAATACATAAATATTTATATTATTAATTACCTTTTTTCCATTTTTTGCTTGTTTGCCCATTCCAACTTTAGCCTCAGTAATCGAAACACCATCAACATTCTTAACTTTTTTCTACGTACAAATTATTCATGTTTAGTGTTGTATACAACTAACCAATCAAAAAATCAATTAATCGGACCAATCGATCAATTATACCTCTTGATTATTTGGACTTTTATCATTTGATGGTTTGGGTGATTTAGGTAAACCTGCTTCATTTTTCTCCTCGTTTGTTTTCGAGTTACTATTGGTATCTTTTTTCTTGTTATTTTTATTTTTATTTTTATTAGTTTGCTTTTCTTCTGAGCTTTCTTTTTTATTATTAACTTGATTAGTTGGATTTTCCTGTTGGTGTTCTATTTGAGTTTTCTTTTTATTTATTTTTTGATTGTTGTTAATTGCTTTCTCATTAGTGCCAGAATTTTTATCCTGATTGTCATTATCATCATCCAAATCATCCAACCCGAAATCAAGATTCTTTGTATGCATCATTTTTTAATTTAATATATAAGTATTGAAATGTTAATCATAAATATTAAAGAAAACTTGATAATTGGAGAAAACTTTTTTACCATCTTAGCATCACCGTTATCTTCAATAGTAACCTTTTTATTACCAGAATTGGTCTTACGTTTTTTGACTTGCTTCTTTTCGCCATTAATTTCTTCAACATCCTTATCACCTTTATTGTTGTTATTGTTGTTATTATTATTATTATTATTATTATTATTATTACTATTCACGGTTTTTTTATCATTCTTCTTGACATTTTTTTTTTTGGTTTTTGATTTATTGGCAACATCATTACCATCATTGTCATTATCATTATCAGCATTGTGATTAGCAATTGATGAATCATTTGAATTTAAAGTATCAATTGATCTCTTTAATTTTCCATTTCCTCTCACATTTCCTCCGTTCTCGTTTTTATCGTTGCTGCCACTTTCATCTCCACTTCCATTCTTATTTTTAGTTTTACCATCAACTTTTGATGTTGACGACATTATATTTGAATCGTTGGGTAAAATATTAGGTTGAAAGTGCTCATCAATGATTGTTTGCCCCGATGACGGTCCATTTCCTAAGGTATCCAAGAATTCGATATAATGACCAGTCAAATGTATATTACTTTATTTTATTTTTTTAATGAAAAAAATTATCAAATGTATTTAGTATATTTTACACATAAATTCATTCATCATTCATTATCAAAATAATTACTTTTTTCCCTCAACATGAATTGTGACAGTTTCACCACTGAAGATAGTTTGATTCAAGATTTGTTGTTCTATCTACAGAATGATCAATCAATATTAACATTAACGTTAACATTGAAGTATCAAATTTAATACATCAATGAATAAATGAATGGATGAATATTTATAAAAAATAAATAAATTTACCACTCCTGGTATCAAATTACAAAGTACATATTTTGTAGAATCGTTTCGTGTCATAAGCACCGAGGTACGTTTATCATCTTTTAGCTTCGAATCAAAAGCTGCCTACATCACATAATAATCAAATACTGTTTATTATAATAATAATAATAATAATAATAATAAAGTATAACGAGGAGGAAAACTTATTGATGCAAACCATTGTAATTGTGTAATCACGAGAAGCTACGTGAGTGAAAGGACTATTACTGGTGAGTACAAGTCCTATGAAAGAAGAAAATAGCTCAGAATTAACTTTTTATATTAATTGGATACACATTATTTTTTAGAAAATTTACCCCAAAATCCGACCGGTTTACTCATTATTATTATTATTATTATTATTATTATTATTATTAATACTTGGTAAAAACGAAATAAAGTGGTAATTGTAATAGTGATAAATAATTTAATAAAAATTTTTTTTGATTAGATCTATTATCACGTGGTATATGTCATGCATGTAATCAAATAATATTTATTCCAATTGAATTAATAATAATAGTAATGTAAAATAAGTTATTGCAGCTAATAAACTAACCAATATTACAAAAAAACCACTTGTAACAAATGGTTTTTCTTTATCTATGATATATGAAGTATTATTTCTTTTAAACAGGGAAATACACAATAAAATTGCACCATACACTACAAACACCATCCCAATTCGATAGAATGAATCTTCAAATATGCGCAAGATAATTAGAGCAAATCCAAATGCTGATAAACTGGTTCTCCAATATGCCCCCTCGAATGTTCTTTGATGTGCTAATAATAGATGTTGATGAAGATGTTTAATTAATTAATTAATTAATAATTGTATATAAAGATAGAGTGATAGTTTGATTGATTTTTTTTTTACCTCTAAAAAAAAAAATTAGAAAAAATTAATAATTAGGAAATCATCATTTATAATATAACGTCATGCCAAAATCTCGTCTTTTTTACCTTATCTCAACTGTTTCTGCTTCTGTTAACACATTTAACGATTCAATATTATTATTTTCTTGAGGCTGCTGCATTTTTTATTATAAAATAAATTTTTGTTGAAGAAATCAACTTGTTGCATTACTGGTGAAAATTTGAAACACAGATATGTCAAGATCTGCATAAAATATAACAAAGAAACATTTATGCTAACTGAAATTCAAAAACAATGTATACTCCTATCTTAAAAAACGTTAACGCAGTCAAAGAAAAAGTATTATCAAAGTGCTCGTACTTATTTTAACAGAAATGATGTGTGTAAATTGGTAACTTTTTGTTGTTTATGGATACTCAATGTGGAAAGTTAATACCTTTGTATATAAAAATTGACTACGGCAAAAGCCGAATGTTGCAAAACTTAATATTAAAGGGATTACAAAGGATTGCGACATTGAATACATAAAAGGAAAAATAATCATATTCTTTCACCAATTGTGGATTTTATCCAGAAAATTGTATCAGGTCGATATTTACACATAATGAATGGGATCAGGTTATTAATAAATGCTATAATCTTGGCGAGATCAAAGAATCACTTGTCTTTATTTTTACTTAGTTAATGATGATTAGAAAAAAAATAGTAGACAATTAAATGAAGAAAGTTGGCAAACGAGTGTAACCATGTTTACTTTTACCGTAATTAATAGAGACTTTGTTAATATTCAATATGCAAATAATAAAATTCAGTCAACTAGTTCAAAACGAAGAAGAATCATGATTTCATCAGATAAAAAACATTCCGAAAGGCTTTTCAAAAACGAGACATTACATTTTGAGTATTAAGTCAATGAGGTTTCTAAAGTCCATCCAACTAATCTGAAAAGAAAACCAACTCGGATATACATAAGATGTATAAAATGATGAGTGACAACCACGATACGATCGTATCAATCAATATGGCTAAAATATGTATCAGGATTTCAGCTTGAGAAATTTGGGATTTTAGTGTCGGGATTTCATTTAGAGATTTTCGTGTCTGATCAGTCGGAGCTGTCATTAGTCGGGTTCGTTGTGGTCTGGAGTCACGAATTGCGTCACACAATTCAGAAACAGTTGCACGTTTAATAGATTACAAAAGAATAGTAACCGGAGATAAAGAATAAAAAAGTTTAACCCATTGCATTAATTCGGCCAATTCTGTTAGCTTGGCTTGTCAATCGAATTGCCCTATTTTTTCTAATTGATTTTCAAGACTGCACATGGGCTATTTTTCCAAATGGGTGTAAAATATCATCCATTGTATAATTGTTATGCGATATATCACCTTGAAAAATTTTATTTATTTTCAAGATAACAATTATACAATCAACTACATCTCTCCAGCCATCAATGTTCTTAGTAAAAGCGATCCTCCTCATTACATGAAAGAGAAATTTACAACGTATTTATATATTTTAGAGGTTCTATCATCTAGTTCTCCGATTTCTTTAAAATCCTAAATTATACTAATTAATGTATTCTTTAATCATTATTTAAACCTTCCATGTAGAATTATTTTCAAGTAATTTCTAGTCAACATGAGTCATGTAAAATTCTTTCGTTTAAATATTATTCTGAGACTTTGTAATCCGTTACATTTTAGAATGTTGGAATACCAATATTTCTGTGAGTCAATTATTTTATTGGTGGTGTTCGAATAAATTGAACTGTTTTGATCACTTGATTAGTTTTCCAACTTTGCGTGTAACTTCGTGAATCATCTCCGATTTATATATCAGTTTCCCGTGATTTATAATTAATAGTTAAACCCTGGGTAGTACGGGTATAAGTTCAATTTTAAGAAGTAAAATTGAGCTTAAATTTGTATTAACCCAGTGGTTTAACTGATTTATCCCCCACCATTTATGCCATTTTTACGTGTAACTTTTTCCACTATCAAGAAGATTTGTTGGGTGGTTAATAACAAATTAATTTATTCTTTTCTAAAATTTGTATATTTCATCTTGCTTTGCGGAATATTACACTGCTCCACCATTATCATTAATATTACTAACAAACTATTACACATTCTAATAACAATGGTAAGTTTAATATTTATGATTCAAAATCAATAAATGTTACAAGCGAAACCCATCTAGTTACTACTGAAACAGATAATGCATGTGACTTGATGAGTAATGATCAAGATGCAATTTCCAGTGATACTAGTGTTGATGATTCTAGTATTTCTAGTGATGCTTTTGATTCAAATAAAAGTATTGATTCACATCATGCATTCAATGATATTTCCAATATTACATTACCATTTAAAAGATCACAATTATAATGAAATTAAAGGACACAAATTTAAATTTATTAAATGTCATAATATTACTATTAATATTCACTATTACTATTAAATACTCATTACTTCAAACAATTGTATTTTAATATTTGTTTGTATTACTGTAATGTTTTGCATTTTATAAATAAAAAAATAGTCTATCATAAAATTCAACTGAGCTTGAATTTTTCTAGTGGGTATAAGTACAAACTGAAAAATGGTATAAATGAGGTTACACAGGGATAATTTTTAAAAATCCATATCAGTCTAGGGATGGGGCGGTTTAAAAAAACCCCGGTTCGAACTCGGTTTTTGAACCGGTTTTTGGTTTAGGTTCGGTTCGGT